TCTCTTCTGGCACACCAAACACACTTGCCGGAAAGTAGCCTGCTTCTAAGTCTCCTGTGATAGACTTAGAGACCTGTCCACCCACCCCCATTCTGCATCACCCCCTCCCATCATCATACACCTCCTTGACAGCCCTGACAGTGCCATGATTCCAGACCTCCACACCTGCAGCCCATCTGTCCTGTGAGCCACAGAAAGCTGCTTTCACTATTTATTAATTATAGTTAACACTTATTGAGTGTCTATTATGTGCCAGCCATTCTAAGAGCTCTTTGTTACTAAAACTCACTGAATCTTCCTATCAACCTTATGAGGTTGATAAACTACCCAAAAGAAATTAAGTAAGCTTCCAGTAAGGTCCAAGGTCACACAGCCATTAAGTGGCAGGGCCAGAATGTAAACTAAGGCAGTCTGGCTTGATGGCTTATCTTTTAACCAATGCATAATAGATACTCATAATTTAGTTCACTCCTAAAATGGTTTTAAGGATAGCCAGCCTGTCCTGATCAAATATTACCAACAAAAGTGAAAAACTTTTAGTTCTGAAGTATTTTTCTTTGTCTCAATCTAACTCATAGGTAGCTACTGGAGAACAAAATTTGGTTTCTGATTGAAATTTCTATTTAAAAATTAAAAAGTATACATTTAAAAACCATTTCTATAAAAAAGAATAAATTGTTCTTTAATTTACTTCCATTTTACAAAGACTAATTATAATATTTCATTGATTCCAAACCACTGACTGGTTTGTGCCCTGTGTAAATGCTGGTAAGGGATTTTTCCACTACCACAGTGATTTTGACTCAGAGTTCATGAACTGAAATTCCTTGCAAATTCTTTAAGATGGGGATGCTGAGGCTCACAGACATCACACAAGTTATTTGTGTGAAAATAAATTAGAAATGGATTGAGAACAGGCACCCAGATTTCAAACCTTTAACCACCAATCCTCACAGCTTCTTTCCTAGTCTAAGGAAGTTGGGCCTCATCTTTAAAGAGGGAAAAAAAAGCTAATGTGAAATCACAGTATATTGTGGAATGTTGCACAGTAGTGAAAAGGAGGTGAATTTATGTAAGCTGATTGTGTAATAATGACTATATTGTTTTTTAATAAAAGAAAAAATAGAACACATGATAGTTTGCTACTGTTTGTTCTTAAAAAAGGGGGAATACAAATGTGTGTGTATATCCTGTATGTCTGTCTTATATATATGTGGGGATATTCAAATCTATATACAGAATATGTCTGAGTATACATAGATGATCCCTGGAAAGATACTGAAGAAAGTGGCAGCAACTGTTGTCTCTGGGATGTTTTTTACATGAGTATTACATATTCAAAAAGTTTACCAAGACACTAATAAATAACATTTTACCTTATTCATACAACAAGGGGTCAACATTCTGTAACAGAACCCACTACAGAGTTCCTATATGTGTGCTGTAGATAAGGTTCTTTAAAGAACAAAAGAAAATGACAAGAGAATAATGGATTACCCATTTATACCAGGTTAAAAAAAGTCAGATAAGCAAGTTACAAAGGGTGTGTTGTTACCAATCTTCCTTTGGTGTGCCATGGTATGGTACTATAATGGTTTGAGATTTCAGGAGTCACAAGAATTGTTAAACTAAGAGATGCTCTCATTGCATAATCTTTATCTATGTAAACTTGCCTTTATTGTTTGCTTGCTTTTCCTTATTAGGAAGTCATGCATGATTATTTTAGAAATTCTGGAAAAGTAAGTAAAATATAAAGAAGAAAGAAAATGAATTACCCAGAGTCCTGCCAACCAGAGACAACCACTATTAATATTTTGTCATTTTTCTTCCGGTTTTTATTCTATTGTTTTTGTTTCATTTTTACATAGTTGAGGTTAGTCTATATGTTTTTATATCCTTGACATTTTCCCCTTTTGATATTACATCAAAGTTATTTCTCCTGTAATGATAACTCTAAACACAACTTACAATGGCTGAGTAACATTCTGTATCTCCTGAGATGATTGTTCTCCTTTTAATCTGTTACTGTAGCAAATTATATTGACTGGGTTTTTCTAATGTTAAACTAATCTTGTACTACTAGAATAAACCCAACTTGGGAATGCTATATATATATTTTTTTAATGTGATGCTGGATTCAGTTCATTGATATTTTGGTTACAATATTTACATCTGCTTAAGATTGGTCCAGAATTTTTCTTTCTTGTACGGTCTTTATATAGGCTTTGGTAACCAGATTATGACAGCCTCTTAAAATGAACTGGAACAGCTGATATAGGATTGGAGTTATTTGTCCTTAAGTGTTTGGTAGAACTAGCTCCATGAAGATATCTGGGCTTGAATTTTCTATGTGTGAAGGTTTTTAATCACAAACTTGATTTTTCAGAATAGTTATAGCAATATTCAAGTTTTCTATTTCTTTTTGTGTTAATTTCAGTAAGTTATCTTTTGTTTGGAATTTGTCCTTTTCACCTTCATTTTCACAACTTTTGGTATTGGAATTCCTCAAAATAATCTCATCTTTTTATCTGTTTAACGACTAGAATCTGTAGTATACCTGCTTTTTATTACTGCTACTGTTTGTGTTTCTCTGTTGTTTCTCTTCCTTGTTCTTGGTTCCATTCATCAGAGGTTTAGCAATTTTATTACTCCTTTCAAAGAACCAACTTAGGGTTTTGGTGTCCCTAAATTTCTTCTCTTATCTTTCTTGCTTCCTTTTATTCTCTGTAAGTTTCTTTTCTAATTTTTGTTGTTGAATGCTTAGCTTATTATTTTTTGGCCTTTCTTCCTTTTTAATATATAATTGAAATGTTATAAAATTTCTGTTAAGTACTGCAGGCTACAAATCAAATGATGTTAGGGTAAAACCAGTCCTAGGTGTTGATCTTACCTTTGGTTCAATCTTCTCCCAGACACAGGCTACTCATTATTTTCTATCTTGTGCTCTCTGATGACTTTAGATGATGATTTGCATATTTTAATCATCTTTTAAGTTACCTTCAGTGGGAGAAGCTGCTCACTTAGTCTGCCTTTAGCAAAAGGTGATGCCCTCCCTGCATAATTTGCCAATACAGGGCTATACATAAGTTTTTTGACTACTTTTCCAATGTGAGGTATTAGAATCTAACAACTATCATTATATATAGATCTTCTCTCCTTAAGGTAGAGTTCCAAAAACGGAAATCCTGGGTAAAACATTTTTAGGTTTCATGGTATTTCTGGCTACATTTTATTAACTTGTGATATAGTCACTAGTGTTTGAGTATGTCTATTTCCCTGTATTCTACCCAGCAATGAGGACTCCTTTTGCAACACCTGGCTTACTTGATAGATGAAAAGTGTTGTTTTAAAAAGTTCATAGCTTGAAAACTGAAGGAACAAAACAGCAGCAGACTCACAGACTCCAAGAGGGACTAGCGGTTACCAAAGGGAAGGGGGTGGGGAGGATGGGTGGGAGGGAGGGAGAAAGGGATTAAGGGGCATTGTGATTAGCACACATAAAGTAGGGAGGTCACAGGGAAGGCAGGATAGAACAGAGAAGACCAGTAGTGACTCTATAGCATCTTACTACACTGATGGACAGTGACTGCAATGGGGTGTGTGTGGGGGAACTTGATAATATGGGTGAGTGTAGTAATTACAATGCTGCTCATGTGAAACCTTTATGAGATTGTGTATCAATGATACCTTAATTTAAAAAAGAAAGAAAAAAAAAGTTAATAGCTTGGATAGTTGATATGGATGAATATTTTTACCTGTTTACCACTTACTTGAATTTCTTGGACCTTTTAGAAATCCAAATGATTTTAATTAATTTATTTATATAAGAAACTTAAAGCTGGTTGTAACCAACCTTCTGTGTTCAAGAATTTGCTGTTAAATGCAAAAAGCACATTTCACCTTCCTGGTGAATTTTGTGAGCGCTTCTCCAGAAGAGGGTGTCAGGGGCCCTGGTCAACAAGCAGCAGCTTGGTCTTGATTAGAGAGTCAGTGGCATGACTAAAAAAAATGTCATTCACTCACTCATGCAATCTGTATTGAGCTCCCACAGCACATGGCCCATAGTGGGTGATGAGGGAATATTTGCTGAATTAATGAAGAGCAACTTGGTATGGGTCAGGGACACCTCATAGAACTGACAATCTGCTGAGGGAGATATGCAGTTACACAATACTGAGAAAAAATATAATTACAAACAGAAATATATGCAATGAAGAAAAAGTAGTATGTGTGATGACAGAATATAATGGGGACACAAATAAGAGGTTGATCAGGTTTAGGTGAGGGGGAACAGGGAGATCACAGGTGGCCTCTTTGAAGATATGACACTTAAAACTGAGACAAAGGATGAAAAACAGTTAACCAGAGTGGAGGAAGAACATTCCACAAAGAAGAAACACCTGTGTAAAAGCCCTGAGGCAGGAATGACCAATGAGAGTTAGCTGTTATAATCGCAGCTTTCACATGTCATTTGCCCCTTACTGTCAATGGGAGTACAGAGCACAGGAAGGGCAAAGATTGACAACTCAAACTCTAAAGAGAGAATGAAAGAGATTAACTGGTTTTAAAGAGATTTACAACGGCACTAGGAAGCACTACACTGCCTCCTGTTACGAGTATGCAAATAGAATTTTCTAAAACTTTATGTCTCAACTGAGAGGGCCTATTGTTTTACATAAAAAATACTTTGTCTCAGAAAAGATCTCGCGTTTCTAAGCTATTTCCAGGGCTGCTCCTAACCCAGGAAGACACAGTTTAACAGAAAAATATTAACCACAGAGTGCTAAACAAGATGCAGGCTCTACCAAAAAGCATGAAATCAATCATTTCACCCTGGGATATACTTTTGGCACGAAGGCTGAGGTCTGCCTTAGAAAACAAAGTCACTTCAAATCTGCCCCAGGAAGCCAGACCAGTGAGCGCTCCCAAACGCGACTTCTGCGCATGACTGCGCATGACTGCAACGGACAAAGCAGCGCGGAGCGAGGCGGCCAACGTACTGTTCTCGCGGACCAGGCAGAACTCCCACGCGCTCTGGCTCTCCAAAGTGCTCTCCAGGTCCACGGCGACGTTGGGCTCGCACTGCTTCTCCAGGCGGTACTGAGGGCCTGGAAGATCAAAGGGGCAGGAGGAGGGGAGGAAGTCTGAAATAGTGAATTTAACACTGAAAAACACCACATACTGGCCAACAGCTGCTAAAGCATTAGGAACACGCTGATGTCTGTCTTGAGGGTCTGGCTATCCAAAATGGAAAAGTAAGGGTTTTTTTTTCCCACAAGTGTTCCATATACTTGTCTATTCCATTATCAGGTTTATTTTCTAGCAGTTCACCCCCAAACAAGGTGAGAGGTAGATGGCTTTTGAGCCAGACTGACCTGGAATCACAATGTGGCTACATGGTTTCTCAGATATAAGCAGGTAACCTATTAGCCCTCTGACCCTGTTTCCTAGTATGTAATGTGGGAATACTTATACCTTGAAGGACCGTTGTGAAGATTAGAGATGACAGAGGAAAAATACTTGTTTAGCAATGTACCTGCCTCAGAGGAGGCACTCCTATAGAATTCTTAATAATCATTATGTATTATTATATATGATAGTATTATATATCTATATAATACTATTTTATATTATATAATTCATTATATAATAATCAGTTACATGCAGGAATAAGGTATATTTAGAACTCTAATATGATGACAGCTGAAAAAAAACTTTTTTTTAAAGTAGGTGAGGTTAAAAATATAAATCTCAGGTTTCTGGTTACAAGGATAGACAGTGGCTGCTGATTCATGTTTTTGTTGAAACATTTATGAAAAAACAGACTGAGTGTTAGCAGAGGCCAGGAATACTAGCTATCCTTTGTCACACAGGAGGGTCTAGCAGACCTTAATAAAATACCAGGGCATTTTACACATTTATTCATGTATTTCTTTGTAAACCAAATGCAATCTTGTTCTTCTCAGATAATACCTAATGGGTCAAATGGTCAGACTCGAAAAACTGCTCTCATTGTTAATGGTTATTGAAAAGATCAGAAGCTTGAGAAGCTGTCTTACTATTTTGACTCTGAGAGGCGTGTTTGGTCAGACAGAGTGGTGTAAGAGATCTGAGGAAAGCATCAGAGGCCTTACACGACTCCCAGGCGGACACATATTTTTAGGTATGTTCTTCAGCTGTTGTCAACTTGTTATTCACATCAGTACTTTTCCTCCACCAGTCTAAGGCATGTCATGCATCTAAAGTCATTCTCCTCGCCCATGTTCTGCGTTTACGTGCAGCACTGTAGTTTCACTTCAGTTTCATGATCTATCCGGTCTTCTCTCTACATGGTGTTCAATTAGCACTTCTGCCAATTCTCAGGGTTCTTACATACCTCAGTCTTTTTTATACTTATACCTTTAAAACCTTTACTAAGTAGACAATGCTTAAAACACATAACTATTTAAGCAAACACATGCTTAAACATCTATACAATTATTAGAAACCCAACTATACTGGATTCAGGTCAAGAAGGTATTCTATTTCAAAATTAAACTTATATTTAAATTTCAAAAATATTAAGCAAAATTACAGACATACAGGTTAATTCTTAGACTGTGTTACTCATCATCTGTCAGTGACATCTGTCAGTTACCAGGCATGTCTGCTGCTGATCACTGCTGGTGGAAGTCATCACAGGAAAATCATGCCCAGCTAAACTTAAAAGAAAACTTAGCTGGTGAGAGATTCCTATGCACCCTCTCCTTTCCTCTCTCCCCAGTCTCTGACACCTCCTTTCACAGCTGTGGGCCTCTTTATTCCATTAGAAAGAGAAGCGCCATCCCTGAACCTAGAGAGCTTTGGAAGATGCCAGTCTGTTAAGTGATCTTGACTACCCCACCCCCACTACCTCCCAGCAACACACTTTGTGAGGTAACTGACAGCCACCTCTAAATTTGAATTTGCAGTGATATCTGGGTATAAAGGTTAGCTACAAAAATTCATTATTTTATGATAGCCAAAATTCGGTAACAACCTAGATCTAACAACAGGGGGGCTGGGGTAAACAAAATATTATGAAATATCACGAAAATAATAAAAGTGATGGTGTAAAAATATGTAATTTTATAAAACAGGTTTCAGTATGATTGCAATTATGAAAAATATATGTAAATTCATGGGGGAAAAAAAGACCAGAGGTTATTTCCAAAATGTAAATCATGGTGACAGTGGCATAATGAATATTTTTAATTTTTCCTGTTTTTCTGTATTTTTCACATTTTCTATAATAAATAAAGGCTACATTTATAATTTAAAATCATCAGATATGCTACAAGTCCTCCGATTTCTTACCATGCCATTTTCCTGAGGATACTGTAATTACCACACATTGTGGCATCTCTAATGGGTCTTTCATATGCGATAATTTAATCATAACTAGACATGATCTGTTTATGTAGATCAGTATTTTCATCTTAACACAGCAATCTGGCATGCTCACTCTGACTCTGAGTGCAGAGTACAGGGTGCTGGGCTTCTCAAGCTGCCCATCTATCTGACAGCTGGACTCTGTGTAAGCCAGCCACACCTTTCCCGATCACTGGGAGCCACGGCCTGGCTACATCTTTCAGGCTGGTCTCCTTTGCAGACTTTCTCCTTCCAGTCTCTCAGCTGCCTGGGAAACATGGATGAGAGAAACCAGGGGAGGCAGGGAGTACTAAGAAGGGTCCCTTATCCCTAAATACAAGTCCCTACAACACCCTCACAGCCATAGATGCCACCATTCCACATTTACTTTCTTGTTTCTTGGTCTTGCAGGTATTTCTATTGAAACAGATTTTCTGAAAGTGGCTGTAGGACTTTCTTCTTGAAGCCTAATATAATGATGACTCTCACTAGTGAATGACCATTATGAGCCAAACACTCTACATATGTTACCTTACTAACTCCTCACACCAACTCTAAATGACAAATACTATTATCCTCATTTAGCAGATTGGAACTCTAAAGGCTGGCAGGGTGAAGAAGCTTGTGCATGATTACAAAGGTAGGAAGTAGGGAGAGATGCAACCCAAAGGTCTTCGGCTCTGAAGCTTGTGTATTTTGAACCTTTCTTCCTCTTGCAAACTACAAATTACTGGCCAATTATAAAAAAGCCACAGTTTATACCGTAAGTATAGATTTTTGTAGATTTGTGGATTCAGTTGGGTCTGAATCACTTAATTTGTGGTTTCTATAAATTCAAAATGAAAATGATCCGAAATAATTTATTTCAATGAAACCCATACATGCTAAATAACCCACGCTGTGTCTGTATTCTGGATCCTTATGAAGACAGGATCACCTTATCTTTCTATCTGTCCAGGGAGACTCTCTTCCTATCTTTCCTTAAGAATATTCCTGTATGTGCCCGGTTTTGTCAGTAACAGAAATTCTGAGTGTCATCTGCTGTGGGTTTTCCCTGTTCTTTCATAAAAGCTAAAGAACAACTGGGAAAACCCACTTTTGAACTAGGCAAAGGACTGATGGGTTTGACTTTGGGGAAGGTAGGGTGGTTAAGTTGTAAAGGAGACCTGAGATCTAAGCCCAAATGGAAAACTGCCTAATACAAGTAACACCCTTCTCTCCTAACTCTTGCCCAGGCATTGGATAAGATATCTCACACAGAAAGACTTTTTCACACAATTCCCCCTGCAAAAGCTGGAATGGTAACTTCAGGCCATACTGTGTAACAAGGCAGGGTATATATGAGGAGCAATATAGCCTGGCAGTTAAGGTCATGGACTTGGTGCCAGATTACCTGGGGGTCTAGTCCTGGCTGACTAGGACTTGGGCTAACTTACCTAACCTCTCTCAGTTTCTTTATCTATAAAATGGAGATGATAACAGCACCTACCTCATTAGCTGGTCTAAGGATTCAATGATTTCACAGTTATAAAGCAGAACAGTGATACAGTGATACTGTAACTGTCAGCTATCATTATCTGCGTCGCTGGACTGTAACAATACCAGGAGATCTAACATAACAGGGCCTATGTGCTGGGGAGATCATCTCATTTACTCTGTCACCCTAGGATGTGAACAGTATGAATCCCATTTTACAGAGGAAGAAACAGGCTAAATAACTGGCCCAATGTCTCAGAGGAAGTGGTGGGACAAGGATTCATACCCAGGGCCTCCAAGCCTGCACTCTTCACATTATATACGAACCATAGTGCCTCACTCATGACAAGATCTTAGAATGTGTCTGCTGATGATGATCAAGATTATGGCAACCTGGACCCGCTATCTATCAAACTATAGTTTCCACCAAGTGCTTGTTTAATTTTTAGGCAGCTGCCGTGGCAGGGAAGAAAACAGCAGCCAAAACCATTTTTAAAAGACAAGTTGTGAGGTTAGTTTCTATTAATATACTTTTGCCAAAGAAACGATTATATAAAATTTAAAAGGCTTTTTGCACACCAAACAGGACATAGTTCTCAAGGCAACATCCACCTTTCGGTCGCAGCTTCGCACAAAGCCACATGCCCTCTACCTCACAGCAGAGGGGAACACAAAAGGAGGATTCTGGGAAGCGGTTACTCTGCAGTGACAAGAAAACCTGCTCGGGCATTCCAATGATGTGTTTATTGCAGTAATACCATGTCACTGAATGGTCTAGGAACAAAATACCCCTCTGGGCACTTTGGGAAGGCTCCAACTTATAATACCACACAGGACTTTTATGGGATTTTATAAACCTGAGGCAAACATCTCAGCACCGAAGTTTCAAAGAAAATCTGTATTATGTGTTGGGTGGGGTGGGTGGTACATACATGCTCAGTCCTCAATCTCTCTAATCCTTGAAGAGACATAAAAGGTTTTAGCATGCAGTTCATTAAGTTGAGAGCTGGAATCCAGTGGGAAGCAAGTGCTGACGGCCAGAGAGACACAAGTCATACCATCATCTCAATCATTCTGCTGCTTATTTCTACAGACCCCCATGGGAGAAACTTCCTTGGGACCTTGGTAGCAGCCTGCTCTTTTCTATCTTTCAACAATTTTACATAAACCTTGCAACTAAGTGATACTGTGTGTCCCTTTCTCCTTTGCCCATTAGGAAGCTCAGCACCAAAGGGGGGTCCCA